TTACCTTTACAATTGCTGGATTTAGCTATATTGGCACCATAGTACTCTCATAATTGCATAAACATAAATTTTTCTTACTGTATTGCCTCTTTTACAAAGAAAATATACATATGAGTTTGCAACTTTGAGGCATAATAATCCGATCCGAAATTTGAAAATCTGATCCGATCCAAACTTTAAAATCTGATCCGATCCGATATTAATTCAGATCGGATTCGGATTGCATTTTGTAGAATCCGAAATCCGAATCCGAAATGTGCTAAATCTGATCCGATCTGATCCATGCACAGCCCTAGTTGTTGGGTGAGCCTCCAACTCAAAATACAATGGTGAACAACGAAGAGGAGGTAAACCTAGGTGCGAGAGAGGCAGCTCAGCGACAGGAAGCACGGTTAGCAGCCCGTAGAGTTGCAGACGAAACGGTCGATGGGGATAGAAAGTGCAATCTCAACCGAACCACGATCGAAGATGAATTTGAAAATATAGCTCCTACGCCTGGGAGGTCGCTAGGAGATTATGCCAGACCGGTGTACAACTAACAACAGTCTAGTGTGAGGCCCCCGCCCATTGATGCACATAATTTTGAACTCAAACAGGGAGTCATCCATACCATTCAGAACAATTGCATATTCAGAGGCAAATCCAATGAACCATCTGATGGACTTCGATAAAATTATGAACACATTCCGCTACAATGGAGCATCACATGATGCCATCTACCTCAGAGTATTCCCTTTCTTACTTAAGGATGATTCAAAGTAGTGGTTGAGAAGTTTGCCCACATGGTCAATTCGTACGTGGGAGGAGATGACTACTAGGTTCTTAGAAAAATATTTCTCTGCTGCTAAGAGTGGACGGATGAGGAAAGAAATTCACAATTTTAGCCAAAGTGAAGGAGAGACAATGTTCGAGGCATGGGAAAGATTTAAGGAGCTATTGCGGAGATGCCCTCGTAACGGAATGGAGCAATGGATACAACTCCATGACTTCTGGGACGGATTAAACCTGTCATCGAGGAGATTGCTGAATAGTGTGGTTGCAGGTCCTCTGATGAAGAAAACTCCTGAAGATATTGTCACACTTCTGAATGAACTATTTGAAGATGCAGAACAATGGTCCACTGACCAAGGGAATCGAAGAAGATCAGCGGGGGTGCACCAAGTAGAATCGTCGGTAGCAACGCAGGCTCAAATTGCAGCTATGGCTAAGGACATCAAGAAACTGACGATAGCTCAGGTGCAAAATCAACCACATGTGGAATGTGACATCTGTAGATTGGGACACCCTACAAATGAGTGTCAAGCTACAACTGAGGAAGTCAAAGCTATGGGGAACTTTAATAGAGGAAACTACCAAGATGGGAACAATTATAATGCTATGGGTCAAAGACATCCAGGTTTTTTGTGGAGTTCACCTAATGGGAGCTTGAACTCATGGCAGAAAAATAATCTCAGACCCAGGGTCAAGGACCACCAGGTTTTCAGAACCAGCAGAGGCAGCAATACCAACCACCACAGCCAATTCAGTCGAGTATGGAAGATCTTATGAAGGCATTCATCAACAAAACTGATTAAAAAATCTAGACTCAAGACACGACTATCCGGAATTTAGAAAGACAAATGGGAAAGATTGCAAAATTTTTATCTGGAAGGGCTCATGGGACTCTTCCCTCTGACACTGAGAAGAACCCAAAGGAAAAAATTAAAGTTGTATCTTTGAGAAGTGGAAAAATACTGACTGACCTAGTGGTGAAAGCTAGACCTGAGGTGGTTAACAAGCAGACTGAGACACCAGCAGAGAGAAAGAGTGAAGAGCAAAAGAGCTAGAGTAGCAGGGTACAAAAGGAGATTAAAGAAAGTAGACATATGCTAGCTCTACCATTCCCTCAAAAGATGAAGAGAGAGAAACTTGACTAATATTTTGGGTGATTCTTGGAGATGCACAAGAAACTTTATGTGAACATTCCCTTCACAGAGGTACTCACCCAGATGCCTGCTTATGCAAAGTTCTTGAAGAAAATCCTGTCTAGCAAGAGAAAATCAGAGAAAACAACAGTGGTCAAGTTAAATGCCAACTACAGTGCCATATTGCAAAATAAAATTCCCTAGAAGTGTGGGGACCTAGGAAGCTTCACCATACCATGCTCGTTGGGGAGTGAAAAATTCGACAAGGCCCTCTGTGATTCTGATGCGTCTATAAACCTAATGCCTCTGTATGTATTCAGGAAACTGGAAGGTGAGCTTGGAGTGATCAAATTAATACCAGTGTCCCTACAACTTTCTGACCAAACCACCATTCTACCTGAGGGAATCATTGAGGATATTCTAGTGCGGGCTGACAAGTTTGTATTCCTCGTAGACTTTATTATGGTAGATATGGAGGTGAACAAGGAGGTGCCTCTAATTCTAGGGAGGCCATTCTTATGTACAGACAAAGTCATCCTTGATATCTGTGAAGGGCAACTTATGCTCAGAGTGGGCAACGAAATATTGGTGTTCCAGATGAAGAGAATGATTAAATACCCCAGTGATGAGGCGTCCGCCTACTCATGTTTCAAGCTAGACGTTGTTGGAGAATTGGCTAAAAAATACAAGTTTGACAAGCTTGTGGGGGATACTCTAGAGAGGTGTATTACTCAGTCTAGCATAGTGGAGGATGAAGATCCAAAAATAAAGAAAGAGGCAGAAGCTCTTAAAAATGAGGATCAAGTGGTTGATGAGGAGGTACTAAAAGAGGAGGCTTCTAAGCCTAATGTGGAATTGAAAGTCCTCCCCACTCACTTAAAATATGATTTTTCTTGAAACTAACAATTTTTCTGTGATTATTTCTACTGACTTGACAGGTACACAAGAGCGAAAGCTGGTGGAGCTGATGAAAAAGCACGGGAAGGCCATGGGCTGGAGTATAGCTGATTTTCAAGGAATCAGTCCAGCTATTTACATGCACAAAATTATGTCAGACGAAAATAGCAAGCCAGTGGTGCAGCCCCAGCGCAAGCTGAACAAAATTTGGAGGAGGTAGTGCACAATGAGATAATCAAATTGCTAAATGTAGGAGTGATTTTTCCCATCTCTGATAGCTAGTGGATTAGTCCAGTACAAGTTGTACCTAATAAGGGGGGAATGCAATAGTGAAAAATAAATATAATGAATTAATCCCCGCAAGAACAGTCACTGGGTGGAGAATGTGCATTGATTATAGAAGGCTGAATAATGCAACAAGGAAGGACCACTTCCCACTCCCTTTTATTGATCAAATGCTTGAGAAAGTGGCTGGACATGGATGCGACTATTTCTTGGATGGGTACTCAGTCAACAATCAGATACCCATTACCCCAGAAGATGTTGAGAAGACCACATTCACTTGCTCGTCAAGTATTTTTTCTTATAGGAGGATGTCATTTGGGTTGTGTAATGCACCTGCCACTTTTCAGAGGTGCATGATGTCTATATTCTCTAATTTAAACGGAAAGTATCTAGAAGTATTCATGGATGATTTCACCATCTTTGGTGATGACTTTGAGGACTACTTGAAGAATTTGGAGCTCGTACTTGAACGTTGTGAGCCACGCAATTTGTCCTTAATTGGGAGAAGTGTCACTTCATGGTGAAAGAGGGAATTGTCTTGGGCCACAAAGTGATTGCACATGGAATTGAAGTTGATAGAGCTAAGGTTAATGTAATTGTTAGGCTCCCTCCACCGACTTCTGTGAAAAGCATAAGGAGTTTCTTGGGACATGCTGGGTTTTATAGGAGGTTCATCAAAAACCTTTCAAGCATTACAAAAGATGTCAAGTTTGTTTTCAATGTGGAGTGCTTAAGATCATTTGAATTGATAAAGGAAAAGCTTGTAAGTGCTCCTATTATGGTGACACCTGATTAGATCCAGCCATTTGAGATAATGTATGATCCTAGTGATGGAGTTGTGGGGGCAGGTCTAGGGTAAAGAAAAGATAAAATGCTTAGGCCCATCTACTAAGTAAGCAGGACGTTGAATGATACTCAAGTCAACTATGCCACTACTGAAAACGAGTTCTTTGCTGTGATTTTTGCTTTTGACAAGTTTAGATCATACCTGGTGGGGAGCAAAGTGATTGTACACACGGATCACTCAGCCTTGAAATATCTGTTGAGTAAGAAGGAGTCCAAGCTGCGTCTGATGTGGTGGGTGTTGTTGCTCCAAGAGTTTGACTTGGAGATCAAAGATATGAAGGGCACAAAAAATCAAGTCGCCGATCATCTATCTCGACTTGAGAGACCCCCGGTTGAAACAATTGAAATAAGGGAAAAGTTCCCCGATGAGCAGATTTTCTCCGTTGTTGCGATCTCTAAAAGACCGCCTTGGTATGCTGATGTAGCCAACACTTTGGTTGGCGGATGGTTACCGCATGACCTCTCTCGTGATCAAAGAAGGAAGCTTCAAGGTGAGGTAAAAAGTTATTTTTGGAATGACCCTTTCTTGTTTAAACAATGTGCATATGGTGTGATTCAAAGATGTATGCCTGAAAGAGAGATGACAACCATTCTGTCTCATTGCCATGATAGAGCAGCTGGAGGATACTATGGTGGAAATCGCACTGCAGCAAAGGTCATGGAAGCCGGTTTCTATTGGCCTACTTTTTACAAATATGCATGAGCATATGTAGTTGCATGTGACAAGTGTCAAAGGGCAGGTAATATTAGCAAGTGGGATGAAATGACTCTCAACTCCATTTTGGTATGTGAATTTTTTATGTTTGGGGCATTGACTTCATGGATCCGTTCCCATCGTCGCATTCTTATGAGTATATCCTAGTAGCCATTGACTATGTTTATAAGTGGGTCAAAGCAATCCCTACTAGGACCAATGATGCTTGGGTGGTGTGTGAGTTCTTACGAAAGAACATCTTTACCCGCTTTGGGACACCTCAAATGATTATCAATGACAATGGATCACACTTTATGAACACACAGTTAGATGCACTGCTGTCCAAGTATGGGGTCACACACAAAATAGGAACCATGTATCATGCCCAAACTAGTGGTCAAGTTGAAGTGGCTAACATTGAACTTAAACGAATTCTTGAAAAGACGGTTAGTGCTTATCATAAGGATTGGTCTGTAAAGTTGGAGGAAGCTCTATGGGCGTACAAAACTGCGTTAAAAACAACCATAGGGACTTCACCGTTCAAACGAGTGTATGAAAAATCATGTCACCTACCTGTTGAGATAGAACATAAAGCTTATTGTGCAATTAAGATGCTTAATCTTGATCTTAGTCTTGCAGGTGAACACAGGCTGGGTCAGATGAATGCCTTGGAGGAGTTTAGACTGGACACGTATGAAAATGCGCGGATTTTCAAGGAAAAGACAAAAAGGTGGCATGATCGTCTGATTAAGCCAAAGGAGTTTCATGAAGGGGATATAGTCTTACTGTATAATAGTAGACTCAAATTGTTCCCCGAAAACTTTAAGTCTAGATGGACGGGACCGTATGTGGTGAAACATGTATCACCATATGGGGCAATTGAGATCTAGAACATGGACGGAACTGAGAGTTTCAAAGTGAATGGGCACAGGCTAAAACTGTATCTTGCTGGAGGATTTGCTCAGCAATCCTCGAGCATCAAAATGGGTTGAGGATGCCCGGTTGAGTCAAGCTGATGACTATAACTCAGAACTACTTCTAGGTCTTCTATTAGTTAGATTTTTCACTTTTATTTATAGTGTAGAATAGATAGAAATTAGTGTATAGTATGATGTGGTAGGTGCAGGAAAGTACATGTCGCGGAAAGTAGGAATTAAGGTGTCTTAAAGACCCCTTTTGAGTGTATCCGTGCACAACCGCACACCTGGGGGGATACCTCGTGCATTTGGTCACGCAACAGGCAATGTTATACGATGCGGGACGTGCATGGCCGTGCATCTGATGGGGTGACCGTGCACCTGGTCGCGCACTTTCACCAGTGTACTGCCTCACGTGCGGAACCGCGCATCGACCGCACACTGACCACGTATCAGGTAAGTTTTTCCTTTTTCTTTTTAATTTCGGACTTTCCCCTCTCAATACCCCCAATTCTAAAATTTCCCTCTTTTTCTCCCCTACACTAAACAACCCTAATTTGACCTCCCCTTCTCTCATCCCCTATCTATAAGACACACATCACCACACCACCCCCCCTCCTCTTCTCCCTTCACCCAACCTCACGAGTCTTCTACTAGCTAAATTTTTCACTTTTGTTTATAGCACAGAGTAGATAGAAATTAGTGTATATTATGACTTGGTAGGTGCAAGAAGGTACATATTGCGGACGGTGAGAACTAGGGTGTCGAAAAGGCTCCTTGTGAGTGTACCAGTGTGCGACTGCACACCTGGTGGGGTACCTCGCGCATATGGTCGCCCAAAAGATGACGCTAGACGATGTGATAATATGCGTGGACGCGCACCTGAAGGGTTAACCGCATACATGACCGCGCACCTGCACCATTACATTGCCATATGTGCGCGGCCGCATACGGGATAACCCGACCGCGCACAGATAAGTAATTCTTTCTTTTAATTTCGGACCCCCCCTTCTAAATTTTCCCCTTTTCCCTTTCTTCCTACGCAAAACCCTAACCCCTCCCCCCCTCTCCCATATCCTCTCTGCGAAGAACACAAACCCACTCCCCTACTCTTCCCCCTTCCTCAAGAGCACTCTTTCCGTGAGACCCCTCAGGTATGTGAGATGCTATTTCCCTTATTTCTATTTTTTTCTTATTTATTTGTAGCAATTTTGTTGTTTTTGTTTCTTTTTTTTTTCTCTTTTTCTTGTGGGGTGGAGGTTAAGTTTCACCATGGAGACTGACCATATAGTTTCTAGGAGTGAAATTGGTGTATCCTTAGTCCAGCTAGGGCTAAAATTTGCTTTGTGGGTGGTTAGGAACAACTGTGCATGTTAAGTGTTTGTGTAAATGCCACAATGAGGTTGAGGGTATAATTTTGTGACCAAGTGTGAGGGTGAAGTCTGAGTAGCCTTTCTTGATTCGCAAAGTGATTCATTAGCTAATAGTTGGCAGTTTGTTACATCTACTATGGCGCCCTCCAAGAAAAGAAAAACTGTGAGTGCCTCCACAAGTGGTCAAGCGGGCACGTCCCGGTCGCGAGCTTCTGCATCCGCTCGTCCTTATGATACGAAAAAGTTTGCCTCATGGGAAGCCCAACAATGATTTAATAGCAAAGCAAGCAAAAATCCCATACCGGAAAGAGGAATCAATATTGGGTCTCTCCAAAATGACTGTCTCAGAGTTTATACGGAATTGGTCCGGCAGGGAATGGGGGTATTTTTCGAAGAACCCGGCGAAGCAAATTTGATGGTTGTTAGGGAGTTATACGCGAACTGCCCGAAACATGAGGACCATGTTTGTACAGTTCAGAAGAAGAGAGTGGATTTCTCCAAAGAGGCCATCCAAAAGGACTATCACTTGCCGAAATACATGGAAGACCCTGATGCAGATGATTTGTATTTGGTGTACAACAGGGAACCATATCCATGGCGCACATTCTTTGAGAAAATTTGTATGCCCGGGAAGGAGGTGGTGTGGCTGATCCACGACCACAAATTTCACTCTACTTCACTCACTTTTGAGGGGAAATTCTGACTCTACATAATTAATAACCGCCTCATGCCTTCAGGTAACACTATTGAGGTGAATGGTCCCCGGGATGCTCTGATTTGGTGTTTTGTCACCGGCCACGACTTTGATGTTGCTAAAGTCCCCATGGTTGTTTTGAACACAGTTCTGTACGCCCATAGAGCTTCTTCCAACTTTACAGACTAATCCTTACGAGAAGCATTGACCATCTTTTCAAGAGTTCGTTTAAGTTCACAGTTAGCCACTTCAAGTTGCCCACTAGTTTGGGCATGGTACGGGGTTCCTGTTTTGTGTGTGATCCCATACTTGGACAGCAGTGCATCAAACTGCTTGTTGATAAAGTGTGACCCATTGTCATTGATAATCACTCGAGGTATCCCAAAGCGGGTAAAGATGTTCTTCCGTAAGAACTTACACACCACCCGAGCATCATTGGTCCTAGTAGGGATTGCTTCGACCAACTTATAGACATAGTCAATGGCTATTAGGATATACTCATAAGAATGCGATGATGGGAACGGACTCATGAAGCCAATACCCCAAACGTCAAATATTTCACATACTAGAATGGAGTTGAGAGGTATTTCGTCCCTCTTGCTAATATTACCTGCCCTTTGGCCACTTGTCACATGCAGCTACATACGCTCGTTCATCTTTTACAAAGTAGGCCTATAGAAATCGACTTCCATGACCTTTGCTGCAGTGCGATTTCTACCATAGTGTCCTCCAACTGCTCCATCATGGCAATGAGACAGAATGCTTGTCATCTCTCATTCAGGCACACATATTCGAATCACACCATCTGCACACAGTTTAAACAAGAAAGGGTCATTCCAAAAATAACTTTCTACCTCACCTTGAAGATTCCTTCTTTGATCACGAGAGAGGTCACGAGGTAACCATCCGCTAGCCAAAAAGTTGGCTACATCAGCATACCAAGGCAGCCTTTTGGAGACCGCAACAATGGAGAAAATCTGCTCATCAGGGAACTCTTCCCTTATTTCAATTGTTTCAACCGGGGTCTCTCAAGTTGAGATAGATGATCGGCGACTTGATTTTTTGTGCCCTTCCTATCTTTGATCTCCAAGATAATCTCTTGGAGCAACAACACCTACCGCATCAGACGTGGCTTGGACTCCTTCTTACTCAATAGATATTTCAAGGCTGAGTGATCCGTGTGTACAATCACTTTGCTCCCCACCAGGTATGATATAAATTTGTCAAAATCAAAAACCACAACAAAGAACTCTTTTTCAGTAGTGGCATAGTTGACTTTAGCATCATTCAATGTCCTGCTTGCACAGTAGATGGGCCTAAATATTTTATCTTTTCTTTGCCCCAGAACTGCCCCCACGGCTACATCATTAGCATCACACATTATCTCAATTGGCTGGCTCCAATCAAGTGTCACCATAATTGGAGCACTTACAAGCCTTTTCTTTATCAATTCGAATGCTCTTAAGCACTCCATATTGAAAACAAACTTGACATCTTTTGCTACCAATGCAGTCAACAGTTTGGTAATGCTTGAAAGGTTTTTGATGAACCTCCTGTAGAACCCAGCATGTCCCAAGAAACTCCTTATGTTTTTCACAGAAGTCGGTGGAGGGAGCCTAGTGATTATATCAACCTTAGCTCTATCAACTTCAATTCCACGTGCAGTCACTTTATGGCCCAAGACAATTCCCTCTTTCACCATGAAGTGACACTTCTCCCAGTTAAGGACCAAGTGCCTGGCTTCACAACATTCAAGCACGAGCTCCAAACTCTTCAAGTAGTCCTCAAATTCATCACTACTGGCATGTCCTCAAATGACTGGACTGATTCCTTGAATATTATCTATACTCCAGCCCATGGCCTTCCCGTGCTTTTTCAGCAGCACTACCAGCTTTTGCTCATGTGTACTTGTCAAGTCAGCAGAAATAATCATAGGAAAATTATTAGTTTCAAGAAAAAGCATATTACAGTAAGTGGGGAGGACTTTCAATTCCACATTAGGCTTAGAAGCCTCCTCTTTTAGTTCCTCCTAATCAACCACTTGATCCTCATTTTCAAGAGCTTCTGCCTCTTTCTTTATTTCAGGATCTTCATTCTCCACTGTGCTAGATTGAGTAATACACTTCTCTAGAGTATCCCCCACAAGCTTGTCAAACTTGTATTTTTCAGCCAATTCTCCAACAACGTCCAGCTTGAAACACGAGTAGGCGGACGCCTCATCACTAAGGTATTTCATCATCCTCTTCATCTGGAACACCACTTTTTTGTTGCCCACTCTGAGCATAAGCTTCCCTTCATATATATCAAGGATAGCTCTACCTGTACATAAGAATGGACTCCTTAGAATTAGAGGCACCTCCTTATTCACCTTCATATCCACCACAATAAAGCCTACGAGGAACACAAACTTGTCCGCCCGCACTAGATTATCCTCAATGATTCCCTCAGGTAGAATGGTGGTTTGGTCATCCAGTTGTAGGGACACCGGTATTGATTTGATCATTCCAAGCTCACCTTCCAGTTTTCTAAATACAGACAGAGGCATTAGATTTATAGACGCACCAGAATCATAGAGGACCTTGTCGAATTTTTTACTCCCTAACGAGCATGGTATGGTGAAGCTTACTGGGTCGCCACACTTCTGGGAAATTTTATTTTGCAATATGGCACTGCAGTGGGAATTTAGCTTGACCATTGTTGTTTCCTCTAATTTTTCCTTGCTAGAGAGGATTTCCTTCAAATATTTTGCATAATCAGGCATCTGAGAGAGTACCTATGTGAAGGGAATGTTCACATAAAGTTGCTTGAGCATCTCCAAGAATCGCCCAAAACATTTGTCTAGTTTCTCCCTCTTCATCGTTTGAGGAAATGGTAGAGCTGGCATATGTCTACTTTCTTCAATCTCCTTTTGTACCCCGCTACTCTAGCTCTTTTTCTCTTCACACTTTATCTCTGTTGGTGTCTCAGTCTCCTTGTTAACCACCTCAGGTCTAGTTTTCACCACTGGGTGAGTCAATGTTTTGCCACTTCTCAGAGATACAACTTTGATTGTTTCCTTTGGGTTCTTCTCGGTGTCAGACGGAAGAGTCCTATGAGCCCTTTCAGATAACAAATTCGCAATCTGTCCCATTTGTATTTCTAAATTTCGGAGAGTCATGCCCTGAGTATCGAATTTTTCCTTTGTTTTGTTGATGAATGCATTCATGAGATCTTCCATACTTGACTGAATTGGCTGTAGTGGCTAGTATTGCTGCCTCTGCTGGATCTGAAAACCTGGTGATCCTTGACCTTGGGGTCTGAGATTATTTTACTGTTATGAGTTCAAGCTCCCATTAGGTGAACTCCACGAAAAACCTGGATGTCTTTGACCCATAGCATTATAGTTGTTCCCACCTTGGTAGTTTCCTCTATTAAAGTTCCCCACAACATTGACTTCCTCAGCTGTAACTTGACACTCATGTGTAGGGTGTCCTAATCCACATATGGCACATCCCACATGTGGTTGATTTTGCACCTGAGCTATCGTCAGTTGCTTGATGTCCTTAGCCATAGCTGCAATTTGAGCCTGCATTGCTACCAACGATTCTACTTGGTGCACCTCCGCTGATCTTCTTCGTTCCCCTTGGTCAGTGGACCATTGTTCTGCGTCTTCAAATAGTTCATTCATAAGTGTGACATTCTCTTTGGGAGTTTTCTTCATCAGAGGACCTACAACTGCACTATTCAGCAATCTCCTCGATGACAGGTTTAATCCGTCCCAGAAGTCATGGAGTTGCATCCATTGCTCTATTCCGTTATGAGGGCACCTCCGCAATAACCTCTTAAATCTTTCCCATGCTCTTAGCAGCAGAGAAATATTTTTCTAAGAACTTTGTAGTCATCTCCTCCCACGTACGAATTGACCCTGTGGGCAGACTTCTCAACCACTGCTTTGCATCATCCTTAAGTGAGAAAGGGAATGCTCTGAGTTAGATGGCATCATGTAATGCTCCATTGTAGCAGAATATGTTCATAATTTCATCGAAGTCCATCATATCTGTTGTTGGGATCTTCATTGGGTTTTTCTCTGAATATGCAATTGTTCTGAATGGTCTGATTAACTTCCTGTTTGAGTTCAAAATTATTGGCACCAATGGGCGGGGGCCTCACGTTAGACTATTGTTGGTTGTACACCTATCTGGCATAATCTCCTAGCGCGCTCCTAGGCCTAGGAACTGCATTTTCAAATTTATCTTCTTGAACAGTTGAGGATGCTCGGTTGAGTCAAAATCTCATATTTGTGTGTATGTATATGAGTTTTCTTTTTGTTAGTTGTAGTAGTTAAAGATAGAAAATAATTGAAGGAAAAAAACCATAAAAATTGAATTTTTTTAACTTTGCGATTTTTCCCGACGATGGATATTAGTCGACAGGTTTCTTGAGGGATTAAGGTCGAATGAAAAAGACAAAAAGATTTTCTTTTGTAGGTAGTGTATTAATTCCCCCTTGAATTTTCTTTGTGCTGCGGTTCTTTTTCAAGGGCTTTGATTGAACTAGGTGTAGTTAGTTTTTATTTTGGTAGGAGTAGGAAACCTTGTGCTATGATTTGAATGGAAGGCAATATATCTTGACTCTATTATGCCTTGAGAATAGTGAGTGCTTTAATTGTGATACTTAGACGCAATTTTTGACTCTTGCATAAGTACCTTAAGGTGTATGATCTTAACGTTGCTTAAATGTTTTTGCTAGAGTGTCGTGATTCCGATCTTGAGTGAGTTATATGCCATGTATATGGGAGGTTTGTGTTATTCTGTGCATTGCATCTAAGGTCTAGAACTTGCCCTGTGTGTTTGCAAAGCGAAATAGTAGTTTTATTCAGTCTTGGAAGTGATATATGCATTTCTTTATTGAGCCAGTTATATGCTTGTACCCGCCTAATGGTCATGTATCTTAGTTAACCCCGTTGAGCCTGTAATCCTGTTTCTTTGGCAACCACATTACAAGCCTTACCCATTTGTTTGAATTGACCATCTATTTGAACCTCTTACCTCTCATGAACACTTGAATTGGTTATGAACTTTATAAAAGTCGAAGTGAGGGGGTAGTTGGTGTGGCTTTTGAGTGGAACTAATGAAATGAGGAGAAAAGTGCACTGTATTGAAAAAGTAAGATCCACTTGAATCGGAAAAAAAAATGTTTTATTGTTGTACAAAATATTCATTGATAGTGGTGACTCTTAATATAATTGTACTTAAAGAAGTAGGGAGTTAATGTAAATCGATGTGAAGGTGGAGTTATGGTTTGACATAAGTGTGGGGGTTTTAACGGTTAATTGTATGTACTAAAGTGCTTAGGGAGGTGTAGTCACTCTTATATCTAAAGGTATCCTACCCATCATGCAGCCTACATTACAACCAAATAAAGTCCTACTTGATCTTTGACTGAATAAGCTCAATTAGTACAGTAGTACACTACGGGCAAGCCTATGGTACGTCTTTTGTGGCATATGAATGTTGTTTCTGAGAGTGAGTGAATTCTTTCTATCTTGAGTTCCTAATTGTTCTTAATTTCTATCGTGTGTGGAACTACTCTTTATTGTTGTGTGAGGGCACTTAATTCATGAAGGAAAGGTAATGTCATTGACTTCTAGGCTAGAGTAAGTGAGTGGGTTATAAATAATGCGTGGTGCTTTTGAGTCAAATCTTGAGGTTAAGATGTTACGATATTGTACTTAATCTATTTTAAAGAGTCTTGGTGTGATGAGTTATGAGAGTTGTTGAAAAAACAAATGGTCGTGTTCTTTGTGAAATGTAGTTTGATTGTTCAAGGACGAGCAATGGTTCAAGTGTAGGGTGTTAATGGTAAGCTATAATCTCGTGTTTTAGTCGCCTATTTATACTATAATTCACTGCACTTTACTTGTGCTGAGTTATAATTGGTAGTATTTTGCACGTATTGCGTGTTTTATGCCTTGTAGGAGCGATTCCGAGTTATGCAGATGTTGTGAAGCTAATTCTAGCTATTTAGAGCTTTGAAGTCTGAGTAAAAGCCCAAGGAACTAAGTCGTAATCATGCTCGGCGGTCAACGGGCGAGTAGTGCACTTAATGGGAGAAAAGAGTTTTGAGCAGGAGCAAAATTCATATGCGCGACCGCGCATGAGGGCGCGCAAGTGAAACAGTACTCTGTCATACATGTGCGTCCATGAGCGCGATCACATCTCCAGATGCGCGGCCGCGTACGTCCATTCCGGGAACTTTACCCAGGCCTATTTTGGTAAATTCGGAGGCCACTCTTTTTGACCTATATGAAGCCTAGCTCGTCTCAAAACAAGATATCTGCGATTTTGGAGCAACTTGTGGAGAGAAGAAGGCAAGAAAACAGCGGAGACTCTAATTACTTCATCCAATTCATTCAATACGGAAGTTTGTTTGATTTTATGAATTGTAATGTCTTCTTGTTCTTCTAATACTCTTGTGATGAATAACTTCTCCACTATGGAGTAATCTTTCTTAGGGTTACTGATGGATATTGTGATTTGAGTATTGTTTTGGGTTTTTACTATCTGTTAATTGCCCAAATTAATTGAATGAGTTATTAATTGAATTGCAAGGCCAGTTGTGATTTTACTTTAATTGAAAGAGGAGTGTTGCTGCAATTTGCATTGTGTCATATTGTTTGGGTTGATTTTACGCCTCTCATAGGTAATCGAAAGAGCTTAAAGAGTTGCCAACTGACCCAGTTTAGAAGAATAGTCGAAAGACGTTCTTCGTAAGATCATTTATTTGCTGTATTTTTGCATATGTTCATAGAACCTGTCATTAGGTTGGTTAATGGAACTCTCATTCATTAGGAAGAAGAATTTGAATCGTTGAGATAGCCTAATCATCTGTTGAAATCGAAAGAGTCAATAGAAGTTAAGAGTGAACTTAGTACGAAGTTACCCGGAATAATAGTTGATCACATATCTTGTCACAGCCCTTACTTCCCATCTTGATATTTAATCGTTGCTACTTAGTCATTAAATTTCCATTATTTTATTACAATCGATAATCTTAGTTTTTATTATTAGTTGATAGTAACATAAATCAAAGCTTTATCTTCCCGGATAGTGTTAAGCTAAAGGTTTATTAGAATATTATTTAAACCAATCCCTATGGAGATGACTTAATAGTTAATACTATACTATCTTTGACTAGCAAGCCTAAGTTTTATACACCGATTTTGCGCTCGTCAATGGGCCCAACGGCTAAGCAGTAATATTTTTTAAAATTAAATAGAAATTAATGACAAAAAGATGTTAAAAAAATATCTAAGGTCATTCCTTGTAATTTTATTATAGAATTGTGACCTAATTTTTTAATTCAAATTTAAGACAAAAATATTATAAAAAGATATTCAAAGCAATGCCTTGTAATTTTATTATAGCAATAAAAAATATGATAATATCTTTCTTAGTCTTCCTCCCCCCTATGGAATGAGCACAACAAGGTGCTAATACTACCATTGAGAAGAAAAAGGAACTAATCAAGAAGTGCCAAAATACAAGTTACATAATACATACTAATTTTTGTTCATACAAATTACATGCTATCTCTTACAAACTTCATAAATCCTTCAAGGTTCGGAGGAAGTTCCATTGGTGGTGGCGAAAAAGTAGCTTGGTCATTGCCGCTTCTATTGTCGGGTGAAGCCGCATCCTCAGCAAGTTCAGCTAACATTTCTTCGTAAGTTTCATCTACCTCTGGTTGTGATTCAGCAAGTCCAAAATTTCTTCTTTCCGA